ATGAAACTGAGAGAGTTCCTCCATGAGAAGGATGGTAATCAGCTGATAAAAGGGAATAGATGAACTTTTATAAAGTTGCTAATACCGCAGCAATTGAGTTGCGTTATGTTATAACATATGTGTAGACCAAATTAAAAACACCCATCCAACCTGTTTGGGAGGATAGGTCTAAAACTCTCTGGGGTCTGTACAGCGTACCTCCATATAGTCCTTGCATTTTGAGCATTGTTGCCACTGAATCAGGCTGAGCCTTTAGAATGAACTGCTTTCTCTTCATCTTTGACATGATCACACCAAAAATACAAAAAAGGCTTTCAGTCTCTAATGCTACACTGAAAAAAACATTTCCCTTGCCTCACTTTGTATGGGTCCTTTCTTTCGCTTCTTCTTTTTTCAGCAGCCTTCCAGAGCTTCCTAGAGCTGTGATCGTTTAGGTCATTTTCTCTTCATTAGTAAATTCAAGATACTTTTTTGATTTTCTAATTAGAGATAACATAAATACCATTTTTGGTAGAGGAATGGGGTGGATTTTTCATCCAAAGCTGAAATAGCTTGCAGCGCAGAGATCTTCAGTCTCCTCATTGATGTATTTGCCACTTACTTATGGTGAGAATGTATGAAGTTCTGAATGGGGAAGATGCAACAAACTATTTGGAGAAATCTGATAAAAGTGGTATCAAGTCTAAAAATTGATCTAAATGGACAAGAACTAGTCACTTACGCTGCCCAAGATGCATTGATTTTTTGACTCTTGAAGAGCAAATAATGACTCAGAAACAACTCAAATTATTCTGAGGAAGGAGGAAATTCGAACGTCTTCTAAATCATCCTTTGCTTTATCACAGGGAAAAGAAGCAGAAATTTACAGTATTTGCTGATACTAAAGAAAAAGTATACAGATACACCTGGCAGTGTCCTGAGTTAATGTTTGGTTTTGCTTTGTGGCTAAGTGCTGTAATGAAGTGTTTAACTGTGATTCACTTAAGAAGAATTAGGGAGAGTTTTCAGTATGTGGTACCGTAAAGCATTATTTTGGAGACAGGATACTCTGATATAGCTTATGCCTGCCTCTGGTTTTCTTTCTCTGAGTTTTTAGATGATTAATTTGGAAGCGTAAAATAAGACACTGCATCTGAAAATGCTTTGGGAAAAGTTTAGGAACTTGGCATTCTTTATATATTTACATGTAATTGTATTGTGTACCTTTTACGTTCTTTTTTTGTTAGAAGAATAACCTTGATTTTAATAAATTGTTTATCCTAATTATTATGAGATATATAGTTATAAAATAAAAATGAGCAAAAAAACATCTAGACAAGTTGAATAAGGTATAACTTTTCCCTTTACAGGTGACAGAATTATAAAAGTCAATGGAGAAAGTGTTATTGGAAAGACATATTCTCAAGTCATTGCTTTAATACAGAACAGGTAAGATGTTAGTATTCAGTTGTGTTAAACTTTTTTTTTTTTGGTACAAAGTAGGAAATCACTGCTTATGGTTGTTCTGAAAATGTCATTGTTTGTATTTTTAAATCTTCCATATTATGGAACACAGTTTTATGCATTTCTATTTTCTTGTGTGTATTCAGTGCTGAGAAAAGTGTAAGAATGGGTGTGCTGAATTATACCAGAGTCCTTTTATGTCAATACTTATTTCTTGTTAGGAAATCACTTTGCTCTAGAGAAAGGTGTCTAAACTTAAAACAGGCAGATTAATTTTGCATATATAAGCATATTTGTATTTAAAAATAAAATTTGAAAAATCTACCTTTCTTATGAAGGTCTGATAACTAAAAATCAGCCTTACTGGTAAAGCGAGCATTTTATACTAGTACATACCTGCAAAACATCTGTACTAGCTAGCATCGTAGCTGTCCTTTACATTGCAGCAAGTTAGGAAGCTTGTATGATGTTAAGGAAACAGTAGTATTTACTGCTCTTGCAAGTCACAAGTGCTTGTAAAATCATGTCCACAGATGTTTATTTTCATGTCTGTTATCCCCTTCAGATTTTACTAATTTCTTGACCTCATTTTCTGTTCTGTAGGAACAAGAGTCCAATACAATAATGAGTTATGTAGAAAAAAAAATAGTATTGTGATCTGCATGGAAAAATGTTTTCTCAATACATCACCTGTGCCCCACACTATTTTTAGTGAATCTCCATGCATTAATATTTATTCATGCTTACTGTCAGAGTTAAGGAAAACAAAAAATGCTGACCTTCCTACTTTAGTGCAGTATTCAAGATTTATTGAAGATCCATATGTTCCAGGTACCTGTTTTTTAAAGCAGGAACACTCTTCAGGGTTCCATAGCCAAAGGGATGATAGGCAAGGTAGCCTCAAATGTGTTTCAGACCATTAGTACTTTCTCTATGAGGGCTGGAAAGAGGGAATCTGTCTTTTTTTGTAACGTGTAAAAAGACTGAATAGAATGCTAGTCATATATCTTTTTTTTTCCGATCAATACAGTCAGACCGAAGACACAGGACATAGCTCCTTACTTTGGAGGATGTAGCTATTTGGCTTGTAATGCAGTCTTTTACCTTAATGCAAAAGGCAGAGAAACAGATCACGTCCTCCGGTGACCTAACTAGGCAGAAGTTATTAACTCAAGGTGATGAATAAAGACTCTTTCAGACCTTTTTGTGTATGTAGTGAACCTTGGCACCAGAATGCAGCCCGGTGCCCACTGTGGATAAGCCATAGAGACATGACGGGATTGGTAATGATGGCTTTATCAGTGATTATATAGTGCAACTAGGAGAAGCAGTATAGCACACCGCTGCGTCTGTCCCCCTGATTTCCGTAAGTGCAGAGAAGAGGAAGGGATACTGTTAGCTAAAGGATGAGAGTATTTCTTTCATCATCCTGAACCATAGAAGACCATAGCAAAAGGTCAAGTCTATCCCAGAGAATGATGCAAAAAAGGTTGTCTTCTATACGGAAAATATAATCATTTTCAGTCTTCATAAGTCTTCAGCTGAGCTTCTTAAGATCAACAGATATTTTGAATCATAAAGGTAACTCACAGATTCCAGATTAGTCAGGTATATCTTCCTTGTAGTTTATAAGCGATGAAGGCTGTTATGTGAATGTTTCTCATATGACTAAAGAATGAACTTTCTTTTTCTCCTCTTGCAAACAGTATTCTTGAGCTCAGAGCAGTTTGTTCTGCACATCAAGTATGTTCTCTTCTAAAGTCTTATGCTACTAGTACCCCTTGACTGCAGGTTAGGTTGTGTAACCTTTATATTTGTCCTGCTAAATATGTGCATATCATCAGCGTAGCCGTTCTGGATTAGAGTGAAGGTCTATTTGGGTAAGTATCCCCTCTGAGACAGTCCAATAGTGGATTCTTAGGAAAAGAGTATGCAAACACTGAGCCTACAGAGTGATATTTGCTCAGCTAATGCCATCTGACTTTCCAGAAATCTCTGGCTTAGGAACTTCTTGAACTTGATATCTGCATCACTGGATTGAATAGTTCTTGATAAGTTGGTCTTGCATGAATTCACTTTTGAATGTATTTAAGCTCTTAATATGTAAAATAACCAGTGGCATAGTTCTTACTCTGTTTTATGTCTTAGCTAATTTTTGATCAAGCGCATCTTAATTTCTTTAGTAGCTTTGTGCAAGAGACTTACTGAAAGGCCTTTTGAAAGACTGAATAAATTGTTTAATAAATTGTGATCTCCTTTATTCATGAGTAAAGACAGTTTCATTTATGATCTCAATATGTTGTATCATAATTTTCTAGATACTTTAATTGCTATATTTTTAATTACCACTTTTAATTACCATTTCAAACATATTGCCAACTGTAAATGATTATTCTTTTAAAATTCCTCTGATCATCTTCAGAGAAATTTTAAATAAGGATAAAACATGTGTTATCCTCTGCTACTTCTAAGGAGAGAGTTCCCCCCACACTTGGCTGTTTTGCGCTTAAAACTCATCTGGGACTTTCTGCATTTTGAATTAGCTTATTCCAGCAGCTCCATCTCCATAGCCGTTCATTGTATTGCTAGAAAGTTGTAGAACTGTAGATGTTTGTCCTCATTCTATAATGCTAGAGACTTCAGAACTTAGGCTAATACTTAAAGCCAGATCCAAAGGGATACTTTCTGATCTTTAAATGAAAGATACCCACACATTTCTAGGATTTATGGATGGGCTATAACTCAAATATTTTGTTTTGTTCCCTTCTGAAATGTAAGTTGCATTTCTCAAGCTGTGGAGAACATTACCTATTTTGCTCTGGCTGGAGATAGCAAAGTTCAATTTATACTGATGGTTTCCTCTGGAAACACCTCAGTAGAGTTTCTGGAAAGAACTATTCCTTGTAAGACTAGTTCTGAGATTACTTTTAAGTCCAGGTTTCCTACTCTTTACTAGTCATTGTTAGTTTGGTCCATTAAGGTTTTATTTTCATCTGTTTATGTAATCAACTTGGAGATATGGTGACTACTAACATAAATGCCATAAATTATTTATGATTCTAAATAAAGCAAGAAACAGATTTTGATTCCCCCTCCCCCCCCCTTTTTTTTTTGTTGAACTGTGGGAATTTGATTGGTTAAGCCTATTCCATTTATTTCTTTTGCAAATTTTTCTTGAAAATATTGAGATCGTTGAGAAACGTAGAGAGCTTAGCTATTGAATTTTTTTTGTTCCGTTAGTACAAAATAATGTATCAAAATGTGGTCTTCATGATGGATAGTGCATCATAGTGCTTTAGTTTTGATCCCTCTGAGTCAATACATTTAAATTTGTCTGTGAAAATGATGGGCAAACCAAGTCATTTGCATGATACAGAGATATTTCTGAGAATTCCTAATATCTAATATTTTAGTATCTAATATTTTTTATAAACTATTACTTCCTCTGTGTGATGGTTCTTATTAACACTTTCTAGTTAATTTTTTGCATACACTTTATAGTGAACTAGCTCTCAAAAATTCCTAATATGCTTTGTTGCTCATGTCAAATTTGAAAAATATTCTGATAGCACTTTGCAAAATAAAGAAGTAGGAAGATTCAAATTGGCTGCAGAACCTTCTGCAGTCAAACTGAAATAGTTGAGTAGTTATTTGAATGGTGCATAAAACATTGTTCTTGAATGGAACCACTTTCCTTCCTTTGGATGACTACCAGAATTGTGTTAAACTATGTAAACGAATTGAATCTGCTTATTTAAATAAATAATGAAAAGAACACAAAATCTTAGTTGAAGAGAACAGTTTGTTTTATATTCAATTATATATAGGTAACCTTCCTTTATTTAAAAAGTATTTGAAGATGGATGTTGCTATATGAAGCGTTTTTGACTTTTTGAAGTCTTCATCCTGCATTTAAGCACGGATTGTTATCAAAGCATAAGTTGCCTAATAGGATTTGTTATGAATAAATATACACATACATGCTATCCACATGTAGGAATGAAATCTGAAGTCTTCACTGGAAAAGCCGTAAACGCCTCTGTCATTTTCCTTTTGTCTTACAACTCTTATGTATTTTAATACCCAGGCAGAGCAGGTTAGCCAAAAGAGCCACCTCCTTATAATACTATTTTTAAATACTCATTTAAAACAGATCTGCTGCTTATGCTTTTGGACAAAATGGGAAATGCTATTGTAAGTAAACATCTAAGATAAGATTCAATACTTTTGTGTTTCTTAAAATTCAGTATTCTGAAAGAGCTTTAAAACATTTTTGAAAACTTATTTTTCATAGCTATGCACAGACATAAAGAAAAATATAATCTGTTTCTGAATCAATTATGTTTGACTTTCAAAGGAAAGTAATCTATACAACTTGTAAAGTAATTTTTTCAAATGAATAATAATTTCAGAATATTGTGAATCCTTATACCCTTTACTCTCTTATTTTGGAATGCAGCCATATGTCTGTGGTCAGTAACAAATGGAAAAGGAACCACAGAACAAAAACATTTTTCATATATGAAAGCATAATACATCACTTGTTACTTTTTCAAGAAAAAGACGCTTCTTTCTGCTGGAATAAGGAACTGAGGTCTTCTTTGATGCTTTCGTAGACTGTATTGCATGCTCTGAAGTTGGTGAGCAGTCTCCCACATATATGCTGGTTTGGTCTGTTCTTTGCAAATGCGTTGTGCTGTCCCTGACCAGTATGGATATCTAATTTCAGTCTGATCTGTTCAGTTGGGTTGTACTCTTCCATTCTTGTGCCAGCACTGGTCAATTTGTTTAAATATCTGTTCTTCTATGACATGTGACCTGAAATTTCTAAATAGTAATCATAATCACTTAATTTTGGTTTTGCATGGCTAGTTAAATGAACTAACCTGAAGAAGGGCTCTTGCTTGTAGCCCTTCTCTGTACCTGTTCCACTTTGGCTCTGATGAACGTGAACAGTTTTATATTATCTCAGATACAGTCTCAGCAGTGCTTCATCCAGTTTTATAAGTATATACTTCTCTTCTGCTTGTGAAAATAGTTTTTCTGATACATATTAACTGTGTGGATCCTACTGTTTTACTACAGTATTTGACTGTGGCTACCCAATATATTTTAAATGTTGTGTTCTGATTTTGCCTGTATGTTTAAATTACAACTAATTTAACTGCCCGTGTTCCTGTATCTTTATGGTGCTGCTGCTTTTGTTTTTAGTAATTCTGACTCTGACAAACTCAGCACTGCTAAACAGCATGTATTTTTTCATCTGTTTTACAGATGACTTCTAACTAAGTTGATTTTATTAGGAGGTGATTGGAGAGGGGAGGTGTATGTCAATGTTTGTCTTGCTGTTCCTCTACTGTACACATAATACAGCTATCTTGACATTTCCCTGGCAATCTTCAAGAATACTAACATAATTTAATTTGAAATGGAAAGAGAAATTCTATTTGTATTCACAGGTTTATCACTTTGTTGTGTCTGAGAAGCTCCAAACAACCAATGTAACTTACAGCTCTAAGAATAAATATCGAAACAAAACTGACAAAGACAACTTGTGTGTATATTGGCTTAATTTACTGGTTTTACCGAGAACGCAGATGCACTCTTCAGTCAAGCTTCTGTTCAATTCATATTTGCTAAGACTGTCAATGCTATGATGGAAACCAGTGCTTACTTCTCTCGTGTGAAGACATTTGACAGAATAGCTGAGCGTGTCTCATCTCATTTTGGAGTTTTTGAATAGTTCTGGTCTGTGGAAGTTAATGGATCATTTTTGTCATAAGAATTGAGAATTCTTTTCCAAAAGTTGACATGTGGGTTTTTTTTCTGTCTGTTTCAGTGACAGCGTATTGGAACTTAGTGTTATGCCAAAAGATGAGGACATCCTTCAGTTGGTATGTTTATGACGCATATATTGAGAGAGTATGTTAAATAAAAAAAAAAGACTTGTTGGTTACAAAACCTTTGAACTGTGCTGCTAGCAAATAGTTAAAAAGTTGATATTTAGCTTTCTGTCACTCCTTAGATATTCCCCTTACTTTCTTGCCATCTCTGAAAATTCAGAAGGTGAGAGAAGACTAGTTCAAGTACAGGAGAAAATACCAAATTCATATGATATTTCTAGCTTATTAATTATAAAAAACTTACAGTAGTGTTTGTGTTTTTATGGTATTCTGGCTTCGTTTCTGCATGTTAGAATTTATGAACCGGATCACTTTCAGTGGTTAGGTCTTCTAATTGTAAAGACTTTGAGATTCATTAGTAAATTTGGATTGGAAGAATAGCATTTGGTGCTTAAAATTAGCTTTTATTAATATCTCATTATCAGTGGAATTTCAGGAAAGAAGCAAAGTGATGGATGTGCTGAAGGTGATTACCAATTTTTTAATTTTTACTAGTGGAAAAATTTTGTTATGCTAGTACTTATATGTTCCAAACTGGAACTGGGGTTCCGCATACAAATTGGATGTTTCTTCTCCTGGACTGTTTAGTGTCTGTAAGTCCACAGGAGCTATGAGTAAAATAACTTGTGTAGGTGTTTATTCTGACAAATTGGAAGAACACATAATGTCTTAAGATGCTTGGTTTATTTTTAACTGGAAGTAGAGGAAGGGAGAAGGCAATGAGAAAGATAGACTTGCTGGTCAGTGGTCAGAAAACTGGATTTTGTAATCCACGTAGAAGAGGTAAGCCTAGACTTTAAATAACAATTTAAAGAACAATTAAGAAAAGCTGTATGGATTTTATTGGCTGTGTTAGGACAAATTAATGGGAGAAATATGGGAGAGTTAATGAGAGAGAAACTATTGGGTATTTGGAGAAAAACCAAGTGTTAGGTGGCAAGCATAGGAACAGAGAGTGAAAGCTGACAAAGAGAGTTGTAACTAAGCGGCCTTTTAGATAGGATGAGCTATATTCTGAAGAAAAAGAAAAAATAATAAACTTAGTTTTGAGCTGAACATAAGAGAGAGGCTAGTACAGGAACTCAGCTACCTCCACCGCAAAGGAGGAAAAATACAATCTCTTTTAAAATAACAATTTGCATTCTTCTGAGACAAAGTGCAGCACTGTAACTTCACTTGAATGAAAAATATAATTCCTGAGGATGATACATAATAAGCTTCACTTAAGATGCTAGGATCTTCTATTTTAATGATGAGATTTGATGAAGGACTTTATGCAAAGCTGAACAGTCACATTTAAAATGTAGCCTTTTTTTCAGAGTAACAGCACAGACTATTATCCTTTTCGCCCTCTGTGATAAGACAGTGATTTTTGATTTTTGAGCTGAGACTTTGTATAATTTTCCTGTTTTGTTTTTTCCCTTTTTAGCTGTATGATTAGTGTTGTCCGCTTTTGTGGAAATTCTATGTCTAAATAAACTATAAACCTCAGGGGAAATTCTGATTCCTTAATGAAGTACAGATCATACAAATAAAGCATAACAATGATATCTCTGATGACTAGTGGTCTGTTATATAAGTGCAGAGTGAACATAAGTGGCAAGGTACAGTGCCTTATACAGCAAAAAATTAGCAAGCTTTTGCCATTGAAGCTGTGCTATTTAACTTGTTATTAGAGTACCTTAAGGAATTCTGTTGTTTCTTCTTTGCTCTCAGTGTCACTAAATTCTACTGTAAATATCTTCAGATGACATCAAAGTCATTGTAAACCATTGATATTAAGAACAGGTATGCTGTGAAAAATAAATAAAGCTCAAAGCACTAGTGGATGATTATAGTATGAGCTAATGAAAGGTTTATCTCGCACAATGAGGAAAAAATAGTTTCATTACATTCAGAAACAGTGCTGGTTATGGTAAGTATTATAGTACTTAGCAGTCTACTCTTAGTGTAGTAATGACTGATTGCTAGGTTAACTACATAAAGAACACAATTGCTCATTTCTCTCCTTAGCTTACTATTTACAAATCTTCAGTTTAGTCTTCAGAATACCCATCTATGTCTGTGAACCTTTAGGTATACTGAATTTCCTGAAAATAGGGCTTTAAAAAATCCATTCATCAATTGCAGCAATGAAGTGTTCTAATCCATATGTCATCACTCTCTGTGGCATGTGTGCGCTCCTTACTTGAAAGTGAATTACATGTGAAATCATTAGTGAAATCAATGTCAAAGTGATGTTCATTCACTGAAGAGATCTTGGAAATGTCCTTTTTGGGGGGAGAGGGGTTATTTAAAAGCATCTTTTTCCAAATTGTGACAAAACCTTGGTGTCTTGAAAATAATGAATGGTTGTTTTTTTCATATTCCTCCCAAACCTCAGATTAATATAATTAAAATACTCCATTTTGATAATTTCAAACCATTTCATTTAAATTTTGATCATGTAAACTATTAGTAAGTTTAAATTATCATTCCAAAGTGGAGTAATTATATTTTGAATTGTGTTTTTCTTGTTTTAGAGCATCAGTGAAGGATAACTTGCAAGTGGGAACACTTTACTCAAAAAAAAAAATTTTTTTAATGCATATTTTTCTGTGAACTCTTTTGAATTTCAAGGACTTTTAAAGAAAACTTGTTGAGAGCTCAGAAAAGAACCATCCTATGTTGGAAATTCTGGAATTTCAGTAGAAGGCTGCTTATCTAAACAAAGAGCTTACTGATGAACTAAAATAAAAATAAATAAATAAATAGAATTTTAAAAAAAGAAAGAGCATACCAGAAAGGGAAGCAAGGATAAACAGCAACAGAAAAGTATAAAAGCATTGCAGGGGGATCTGAGGGCAAAGCCCAGCTGGGGCTCAAACTAGCCAGGGACATAAAGGGCAAAAAGGAAGCATTTTGCAGATAATGCTAGTTGCAAAAGGAGGTTCAGGGAAAACGGTAGGTGCGGTGATTGGGGATGTCATCTTTGTCTTTTTGCTCCTGTCCACAGGCAAAGCCTATTCCCAGACTGCTTGTACTAATATATTTTGGAAAAGAAAGGTAGCTAACAGAAGGAGAGAGACTAGTTAGAGAAGCTTGATGTATTTAAACCCATGGGGCTGATGGGACTCACCTGAGTGCTGAAGGAGATTGGTAGTATGATTGTGAGGTTGTTGTCTGTGATGTTTTATGGTAATCAGGGGAGGAACCTGACAGCTGAAGAAAGGCTGACATAATGCATAGCTTTAGGAGATGAGAGGAGGGAACTATAGACTGGTCAGACTTGACTCACTCCCTGAAAAGATTGTGGAGCAAGTCTGTTTTGAATCCATTTCCAAGAACGTTAAAGGGTAAGAAGGAAATGAGAACATCCAGCACAGATTTCCAGAGAGTAAAAGTTGCTTAACCAACCCAGTTGCCATCAATGATGGCCTAACTGGCTATCCAGGATGACATCCAGGATAATGTCAATATCTTTGATCTGGATGATGACTGAGCATGTTGGTGGATGACATAGAAGGTGTAGCTGACAGGATGGAGGGCAAAGGCCAGCAGATACCTTATGGCGTTAAATACAGAAAAGTACAAACTTTGTACATCAGGAAGAATAACCCTATGGATCGTACAGGTTGTGAACAGCTGGCTGAATAACAGTCGTGCTGAAAAGGAGCTGGGGATTATAATGGGCACCTTGTTGAACGTGAATTTCCACATTGCTTTACTTTTGGCTCAAAGTGTTTCCAAATTTCAACCCAAATCTCTAACCTAGAGTTTGATTAATGACGTTTGCAAACTGAATGAAGATCGTCTTTAGTCTGCATGTAGCTTCCAAAATTGTGCCTACTACTCTTAAGCTTTCAGGCAACTTTGGAATGAAAAAAAGTAAAGGAAAGAGGACAAAGAGCGCTAGCTTTTTAACCACAGAATTCAGAATATCTGTTAAAATCTTCACATTGGTTCATCTAGCTTTTAAACATTTATTCTGTGTGTTTTTATAAATGTTTAAGGTAGGGGAAGCATGCCTGGGTGACAGAGATGAATGACAAGAACACTGGAAATGAGGAGGGGGGGAAGAGCAAATGCTTTTCCATTGGGGGAGAGGCTGAAGGCAAGGAGAGTACTGGAGAATACTGGAGATAACAGAGACAGTTATGGAGCTAGAGAAGTAGTAGGTATGGTAAGAGGGAAAGGGCAAAGAAGATGTTTAAAAATAG